CAATATCAACAATCCGATACTCCAAGCCCCCTGCCCATCGCGATCCTCTCAACCGAATCCTAAATGTGCTGACGGCCGTCAGAATACAGGACGAAAACCCTCCCACACTCGCTTTCCATGGAACGTCGCAATCGGCAGCGGCTCCAACAGCACCCGTCAGCCAATACGAGAGTAGCGTCAGCCGCAAAGATCAATCCACTCGAATTTGGCCTCACTTTTTATTCCAACCCCAAAATTGCCTAGCTTATCCTATCCCAGCAAGGGGCAGGCTGACTCATTTTCCTTCATGGCAATGTCAATCTCGCATACAGTTCTCCGACTTACTTGCGCCCACAACCGAAGGATTCAGATGCCGCCCCCAATCCGTTTCGAGAAGGTCGGCGATGTCCCGGCACGGACAGCAACGAGTTGGGTTTCGACGAGGGGGCATCAAACGGTCTGGAGCCACGATGACGAATTTGATCTTCGTAGTGTACGAAGCCTACGCGCGGGAATAAGAGTCACTGGTTTCTCTATTTGGACCCTGTGACTCACTGTTCATTTCAGATTGTATTCATCAGCACGAATCGAGGCAGGCGTACTCCGTAAACCGAGACCCAAAGTGGTCTTTGCATCAAATTTCGCGATGCAGCATCTCTCTATGACATGCTTCTAAATGCGTTAATGATTATCCCTAGGGCTTGAATCAACCCCGGCCAATGGCAAAACTCCATCTCTTGCATCTTAATCCAAAAACTATGCCATTCCTATACCTGCTTGCCATGCCGAGAAATGTATCAAATAATTTCCATAAAGTCGTTTCGTTTCGTGTCGCCAAAAGGGATCACCACTTGTCGGGGCCGAAATGCCCTCCCTCAGGCACTGTGTTATACGAGCACGCTTGCCAGTCGCAGCCCTGCTTGTACACTTCTGTACCCCACCATTTAAAGCCCTTCATGTGCCCAGGGTAGACGAAGCCAAAGAACACCACGACGATGCCGAACGCCAGACTCGAGTCCAACGCCGCGCTCATAGTCATGGTGTACTTTGCCCACCACGCGCTCTTTCTCCTCTTGACCAGGTAGTTGAACACATAGCATACCACCGCCCATACCGAGAAGTTGAGCCCCGTCGCTGGTGGGATCCACGCCATGGACCCGAAGACGACCGGTAGGTTAATCTTTCGGAGAATGCTGTGCCTGTTTTTGCGCGCGTAGAGCCACAGGGGAATTGGCGCGATGGCTCCAATCAGGAAGCACCACACAAGTCCGCGGTACGTTGCGTTCGGTCCGAAAAACTCGCCCGGTCCAACCACACCCCAGAGAATGGAGCCGTTGAAGTGCACACGCGCGATCGGGCATGTGAAGCCATTAACAGCCTCTGGCGTACAAATACCCTTGACATTGGCAAACATCCAATTGAGAACGCCAATCTGGGTCAGGGACGACACGATCGTGGCCACCATTTGCACCGAAAACATAATGCGGGGCGGAATCTTCATATAATGGCCGAGCTTGAGATCAGAGGCAAACTTGATGCCTTGAGCTGACGAGATGTAGCCATAGGTGACAAACACCATGTTTGCGATTGGGCGGCCAGGGAACACGGCGCCGCAGATGAGCTGGCAGATGAGGTAGATGCTGCTGTGCTGATTGGTCACTGCCATGATGATGCCATTAGGGATGAAGAATATGGCGCAGATCCCCAGTGACATGAGCAAGCCGTACCACGGGAGGTGGATGGGGTAACTATACTGTTAGCCTATAATCGATTCAATTTGTGAGGTGAGTCTTACTATTCGACGACAAAAATGCCCACTGCCAGCATCGAGACGAACGTTGCTAGATACCAGGAAAGGGGAGCATCCTTGTACCGCTTCATCAGCCGGCAGTGAACATCTTCTCGGAACATCATGCCCTCGAGGTTGGATGAAGATCTTGAGAGACCTCCGTGACTGCTGAATGATCGCTGGGGTCTGATGTGCTCAGAGCTGCCTGAGACAGGCTGGTAAACCGCCTGACCTTCATTGCGAGCTTCCGCCATGGCCGTTTTCCACGTATTCCACATATCCTTGCCATGCCAGCAAACCGTGTGCGTCAGCAGCGCCGCCAGGGCAGCGAACTGAACACCATAGCTGAGCACATAGGTGATGGGCAGGAACACTCGGCTGTATTTGCTGTATGCATCTCTGTCGAAGAGGAACTCGGATGTCAGGATCTTGCTCACATCGTAGACCTTGCCCTTGTTGTCAAATACCGCAGAAGACAAAATTGGCATATACGATGAATAGAACACATTGGCGTAGTAGGCGATAGGCGCAATGAGCCACATGACGATAACGAGACCGCCGATGACGTTCATCGCAGCCCAGAAAGGGACCAAAAGGGGAGATCCAATATACGTGACCTGAGCCCAGTCGAAGGTCAGGGGAAACAGTCCCAGGCCAGAAACAGTGCCAAATAGGTTGGCAACCACCACGTTTTTCGGCGCAAACCACGTAATGACGTTGAAGTAGCTGAGACAAGGCATCAGAAGGCCGGGAAGGAAGTAAAAGACGAAACCGCCGAACCAAACGAGGTAGAAAAACTTCCACCTCGAGATCCTCCAGCCGTCCGCGATCCTGTTCTCTTCCTTGTGAAGAGTCCCGAACATGGCCGCAGACATCAAGGTTCCGGGCCAAATCATACCGCTGGGTCGAACCAGAAATCGACGCGTAAGGCCGGCAAAAGCGTAGCCGAGGATTTGAGTCGACAGGATCAGGAGAATTTGATAGGTGATTGTGGCTTCCTGGTGGTAAAACCTAGACTGCTCGACAATGACGTCGGTAGCAAAAGCGAAGCCGAACGAGACGTTGCTGCTCACGTAGACGCAAGTATGCTCCTTTTCGTTCCACCGACCTTGCGCAAGCCATCTGCGAAATCGGGTCACGGATCGTTTCGCTGGCGGCCGGTTCACGGCATCAGTCTGGAGAACACCATCCAGAAATTCCTCCGCAGGATCGCTGTGAAATTTGAGGAGGTAGTCCCACATGAGACCAAGTGGGTGGACAAGCAACAAGGCAATGACGGGCGTAATAGCAACACTGGGGTATCGTAGCGAGAAGAACAAGTTGGTAGAGGAACCAAGCACTGAAAACAAAAACGACAGCGTCCACATTCTCGGAGTGTTGATGGACAGGGTGATATTATCCGTTGGTGGCACCGAGGCGCGGACGACTTCGTGAGGCGAATTATCAGCCGGATCCTCGTCGGGTTCGCTGCCTGTGTAGTCATCGTAGTCCACCTCGTCCTCGGCCGCGTCTGATTTTGCATCCTCGAGCATGTTTGTCGTCACCGGAGCTTGGGTTACACCAAAGCGCCCCTCCAGCCCGGTTGTAAGGGCGGCAGCATCCAACTCCTCGGACAGACGAGAGCTCTCCCTTCTCGAGGCAGTGGAGAACCTCGAGGAAGCTGACCTGGTGGTGTCGGATACATATCGCATTGGATGTGCGTTTCCCGTCCTTGAATCACTCCCGGTAGGTGATACATTGCGGCTGGGATCTTGGGATACGGCGCCGTATGAAGGGGCGTCGTCGCGCGAAGAGCGCAAGAGAGAAGGTTTCGAAGGCATTATGCCGTCGTCTAGATGCGGGACGGGAGACTGAGGGTTCGGTTCGATCGTATCGTCACCATGTTCGCCGGCGCTGGAAGCGTGGGAAAGGGTAGAGGGTCGGCTTCGCAAAGTGGAAGGGCGAGATCGAGGGTGGCGTGCCGTGTTATATGGGTCAGAGGCGGTTTGTACGGATGATGAGGTAGTCGAAGGATTCGCAACATCAGCTTCAGCAGCGGCAGTGCTGTCGTTCGTGGGACCGTCTGCAGGTGCAAGAAGAGGCAGAGGTTCTAGAGCCAAAGCAACCGTATCGGCGTCGGGGTCGGGAGGGAAAGGTGCCTTTGGCTTGCTTTTGTGGCCGGATGCCCTTCTTTGGCTCATGGCTCCTCACCAGTCGAGTGCCAGTGGCAGTAGCCCGGACAGGCAAGAAGAAGCAACGAGTGACGGGTCAGAAACAGAGACGACAGGGAAGCGCGAGTAGTGTGAGTGGACTGTGGACCATGGACCTTGACCGTGGGCTCTGGATGGAGGGATGGAGGGGGGCACCGCGGCGGACTGGTCTGGAGGGAGTGGGCGTGGGCGTGGGAATGGTAGCTTGGTGGGGGTGGCTATCGTCGGGGGTGTGGACGATAGAGGGAGAGAGACTGAGAAAGAGAGAGACTGAGAAGTATACGGATAGTCTGTTTGTGTGCTGATTCAATGTGTGATGTGGCCCAGCTGCGTTAACGGAACGGCACGGAACCTTGACTGGCCAAAGTTGACACAACTCGGACGATTGAATGGAAGCCTAGACGTTGACCGCAATAAGAGGTCCTGTTCCTGTGAACTGGCCTACCCTGCCCTGCCTTGATGCTGCTCCCTCTCCCTTTCGTGAGCTGAGGCGTGGCACCGGGTTTTGTTTGGCAGTATTGGGCCGCTTGTCTCGGTTGGTAGACGGGGGAAAGCCACTTGGTGGCCAAGAAAAGGAACACTAGCGGGTTTAGAGTGGAATCAGATCGGTGGGAACCCCAAGAAGCTGGAGCGGCAAGTTGCAACTACTGCGCTGGTAGGGAACCACACCGGTGTCGAATTGTTGACCGGCGGCGGTTTCGCGGACGTCTAGGGATGACGGACGTTGTGTGAATGGGCTGAAAAGATGATGCAACGTAAGAGGTGCAGATGGGATTTCGCTGGCACAGGTTGAAAGCGAGAGAAAAAACGAGTTACGGATTGGTGGACGAATGACAGTTGTCCGTGGGGGTTTAGCCTTGCCCAGAAAGGCCAGTGACCCGGGCGCAGCTCCAAGTTCCTCCAAGTTCCTCCAACCCATGGCCCTAATCCTGGCTGTTGGGTCCATGCTTGGGAGGCCTGGAGCCTGGAGGTGAGGATGCCAGTCAGTGCTCGGATGCGATGCTTGTCAAGGACTCAAGGGGCCTAGGATGAGGGATGAGGGATCAAGGGTGCCGCCTGTGCCCTGTATCCGATTCTTGTGCGTCTGTGTGTTGCGGAGGGATTCCCGTCACTCTTCTCTCTGTTCGTGCCCTTCTGGGACCGTGCCGTACGAAATGGAGCAACATTCCTGACTCGACTCCACAGTCGGTGGTGTTTTGACCGTGAATCACTATGATCCAAGGTGCTTTTGGAAGGGGAAGGGAAGCATAGCAGCTCCACGGCCAAGTCTGCGGCCAGCCTACCTCATCCCATTCCAGCTTCATACTGCGTATGCCGCCCGCCGGCTGTCAATGTCATGCACAATATCAACAACCTTGCGGTGTGTTCAGCACAACGGATTGTGAGAAATGATGGTCATTACAAATGCAAAGACGGTGAATGGTCCCTTGAGAGCCGGACTTGTGTGCAACTAGAGCAAGGCACAGCAGAAGTTCCTCCAGACCCCGGTCTCATTGGAAGAGCTGTAACGGTAAGGGTGTGCTGCTGCCGCCTTAGCGATGGCTAAGATGGGCTTTCCAAGGGGGAATTGTCGATTTGCGGCGATCCCAGGCTGCCGCGACTTGCAGCTTGCCTCGCACTGCAGGCTGCAGGACGACGACCCAACGAGCAGCCTGGTCCAACGACACGGCATGCAGGCAGACTGGGCAGCCCCAGAGGAGAGATTCGGAGGCCGCAGGACGAGGTGCAGGCGTCACAGACACGGCACGCGGTAAGCTGAATGGGCAGTATCTATGAAGGTCGAGCCAAGACCCGATCAGAGTTGGGATTGTCGAAGCTATCGACGGCTCGGGCGGGAAGCGAAGCCCATGTCCTTGGTCCCTTGGTCTATCAGGATCGGTACGGATACGCCTCTCCAATTACTAATTAGTAGCTCGTGGGTCTCTGGCGGGTAGAATGGGGGCATCAGGCGGACATGGCGGGATGACACCACTCTAACGAGCCGATTCGCATCTGCCATGGCATGCCGCATGGCCTATCCAGAAGAGAGCATGGTACAGAGTATTTGGGCCTATTGGCGTTTGGCTAATAAGCCGATGCAAAGTAGTCGTTCCGGGCAGCCCTGTCAAGTGATGGAACCCCCAGAGGCCGTGCGCAACAAGGGGACTGCGGCGTCAGCAGCGGGTAATAAACCATAAGCAAAAGTTGGAGTTGACATACTACTACGTATGTACGAAGTAGTGACGGACAAACATTGGACAAACGTGAGGAGGCTGAGCTTCCCGTCTGCGGCGACCGGCTGCTGGAAAAGGGCAAGATGAGGCGCCTCCCGTTTGAGCCCGAACAAAAAATGTGCAACGCTTCCCGAAGGATAAAAAAAAGACAAAGGCAAAAGAGGAGTCCGGATGGTTACGGAGCTCAGAATGGCAAGATCAGATTAGATAAGCGTTTAGTCCCTCGCTACGTACTGTATCACCTAAGGTAAGGGTACCTTAGGGTGAGGTGAGGAAGGTGAGTGTTTGGCAGTCGCATTCTCGTGCCGGTCCGCGCCTTCCATTAGGTGGGCAGACCAAACACAAATAGCAAGAGCCGTGCCAAGACCCCTCCATGCCTTCCTTTTGCTGCTCAATCTGCTGCTTATGTTGCTTCAGTCCAAGGCACCGGCAGGCACGACATCAGATCGACCGAGCTGCAGTTGCCAGTTATGTTCCCATCCCGAACCTGCCGTCTTCCTGTATGGTGGCCGTGCCTGCCTGCCTGCCCGGACCTGAGTGAAGCGCCGATATACGGAACCAGAAAGTTCCACTCGCCGACCTCGAAACTTCAGACTTTCACAGTCGGGTGTGTTCGCAAACTCTCGGTCAACATCCATCGCCTTAGTTCTCCATACCTTCTCGTCTATCTAAAGAACCTACCACCACTGGACCGACTGACGACGGTTCAGTTGCCCAACGAGTACCCTGCATTAGACGGTCATCCTTACATCCAGTCCACGTACAAATGGCCATCCCTCCTCAACTGCATGGGAGCCCGAAGCCAACAAGCGCCAACGCACTTTACGATCCGCCTATAACCCAAGGAACCGGACGCCAAAAACGCTGCGGGCTTGGCCGGTGGTCACACGTCCGCCGCCAAACCACGACATGTGCACAAGAACGAGATCCGTCCCCACTGCGCATGACGATGCCACTTGCTGCACGCATAAACCCTATTTCGCAACTCCGAGTTATTTCTCTCCATCGATCATGGACGAGACAGCCTGCCATTCTCAGCCTCTTTCACATCGTGGCTCTTGTTGGCACCCAGGGTCACTGCCCTGTCCCCGTGCAAATCCGTTGTTTGTTAACTTCCAAGGCAGAGAGTGTCACTCAAAATAAAAATGCTCATCACTTGCAAGTCGCGCATGCGCTTAGAGCGGGTATCCAATCTGTTAGCCAAATCTGTCATCGCAATGCCGACGAGTCAAACCTTGAACCCTGCCCGCACTTCCTCTCGCGTTTGTTTCTTTGCTTTTTTTTTCTCTTCCTCGCCGCCCACAGATGTCGGCCGGACCAACAGCAACCCTACCCTTACCGGCTTACACACCGATCCGGCCCGGCGGTGACTGGTCGGTGGTCTCAAACCACCTCCATCGTGGAACTTACCCAACCACGCAAGTCAGCCTCCGTGGTGCATCAAGACCAGAATCACGATCCCGATGAATGCAATCCATCCTCCCGGCTCCATGTCACATCCGCACCTTGACCGCTCACGTGGTCAACTCGATGTGCCAGGCTTTTGCATGTTGTTGGTTTGAGTTAGTACGGCCTATAGCGACGATGCCACACCTTTGTCGCCACCCAGCCTCACTTCTCGCATCACGACGCCTCATACTTTACTCTCACCGCTCAGCACATGACATATGCTGTCATCGCCTGCACGAAATTTGCACCCTAGCATCGACTCCCATGGCAGCTGTGCAAGGATGCTGACGTTCTTGTATGCTTTGATACGCTTACTCTCATGGCAGGACGCAATAACTTTATTGCATCCGTACACCCTGTCTCCCCGCGGACTGCGCTCGATTCGAGAGTCCGAGATCACAAGCTGGTCCTCCGGGCTCCATGTGGCTGGTTCACATCGTTGCCCTCCGAGTCTTGGTGGCTGGGCTCCTGCGGGGCCGTTCACCGTTGACAGCACTTCACGGTGGATCCGGAGCAAGTCCCGTCTTTTCGGCGGGGCGGTAAGATTTTGTTTGGTAATGCACGTCTCCGGATTGGGCAATGCAAATAACAAAGTGCGAGGATTATTGTTGCAAGACGTCATCGGCTGTAGGCAGGTCTATTCCGATATGGCCAATGAGTGAGGTTGGAGAATGTGTGAATCGTGATTCGCTGTGCAATCCAACATGTCTGTACATGGCACTGGCAAGGTACGTTTGGCGAATCAACTCTGATGTAATCTTCCCTTGAAGAGAATGAAACAACTCTCAGCAGACCTCACATCCTAAATTTCACAAGACGCTGCTCGGTCACAGTAACAAGACAACTCTGATGTGCTGAGGCTCTTCAGGGCTCTGCGTTCCCCCTTTCCCACACAAGCCGCCATGTCAGGTTCAGCTGAACTGGAAGAGATGGAAAGAGATTAGTTTTCAGAGAATCTGTGATAAGCCTCATCTCGTGTATCCCATCAACACATCTTTCGACACATGAATGACAATGAGGCTATTTTCGCATCGAGGGCGTAACTTGGCAAGAAAATCGACACACAAGCAAAAGGAGAGTTGGACAAGCAATCGCAGTCTCTTGTATTCATATTCCCGTAATCGATTGGTCACCTCTTCTAGCGATGAACTAGAGTGGCAGACCTCGGCACGTTAAACGTCTTCTTGTAGTAAGAACTACCTCAGAGCGAGCGGAAGTGAGAAGCCCAGTGGAGCAACCATGTCGTGGTTGCTCTAGTGACTTCATCGCACTCGTAAACGAAGCAAAGTAAGCAAAATCCCAGACCAGACTTCAATCCCTTTGCGTTTGTCGGTGGTGTTGAATCCCTATCCCCCAGAACAGCCGTCATCAACCAGTAATGACGAGAAAGAAAAAATCGATCTATGCCTCAGCCCGCAGGTGTTGAACGTGCCAGCTAGGCCTTATCACACGTGTTCAACACCTGCCCCTTAGGTCTCGGATCGGATCTTCTTTCCCAACATTGTCAGGGCAGCGACGATGACTGGGATCACGCTGACCATCTCACCCAAGCCCGCATATGCGGGAGGGATCTTGAAGTTGACAGGCTCGAATGCGCCTCCGGCAAGCAAGATGGCGAGCACGTTGTACACGGCCGACCAGACAAAGTTGAACACCATGCGGTGGAAGCTGGCGCGGCTGACCTCAAGCACGAAGGGGATACCCTCGAGGCCTGCAAGGAGAACTACATCTGCAGCTCCGCGGGTGACATCGCTGGCTGAAGCTGCGCTGCCAAGTTGAACGCCTACATCAGCCTGGGTGACTGCCACCGCATCGTTGGTTCCGTCGCCGACAAACATGACGATCTTGCCCTCTGACATTAACGAGGCAACATAGTCACGCTTCTGCGACGGGGTGCGCCGAGACGCCACATTGTGGATGCTAACTTGGGCGGCGACAGACTCAACGGCCTGAGTTTGGTCACCAGAAACCAAGTGAACGGCAATGTTTTGACGTGTGAGCTGAGCGACAACTTTTTTTGCTTCCGAACGAAGACGTGTGCGCAATCCAAATATGGCAATAGGGATAGAGTCACTGGTGATGACGAGGATCGTCATGTTCGACTCTTGGAAACGGATGACGGAAGGCAGAGCATTGGCGTCAGTCCACGAGGGGTTTCCGGCGCAGACTTTGTGGCCATTGTAGCTTGCTTCAACACCTGCGCCAGGGATGACTCGAGAATCGGTAACCTTGACCTCGCGGGTTGCCCGTGAGGCAAGGTATTTCGCCAGGGCTGTAGACACGGGGTGGTTGTTGCCTGCCACAAGGGCTTTGGTGATGGCACGAGCCTCGTCATGGTCGGCAAGCAGAATCTGTTCCTCGATAACGTCAAGATCGCCCTCAGTTATGGTCCCAGTCTTGTCGAATACGACATCGCTAACCTTTCGAGCCCTCTCGGTGCACTCGGCTGATTTGATGATGACACCTCCTCTAGCGGCAATGCCACCGGCCACAACCAAGACCATAGGCACCGCAAGGCCGAGTGCGCAAGGACAAGAGACAGCGAGGATAGCAATAGCGTAGGTGATGGCAGTGGAGATCGACTTCCCAGTCGGTTCGCCATGAACTCTGACACCGATGACGGTCCAGACAACAAGGACAATAATGGCAACGGCCGTGACGACAGGCACGAACCACCCTGCGACACGATCTGCAATGTCCTGGATCCTTGGTTTGGAATTTGCTGCTTCCTCGACTAGTTCGGCAATATCGGTAACGGTGTTCTTTCCAGGGAGACGAGTAAGTTGGGCGATCAGAGTGCCGGATCCGTTGATGGTGCCTGCGATCACAGTGTCACGCGATGTTTTGAAGACTGGGACGCTCTCCCCAGTCAGCATAGACTCGTCGACCTCACTCGATCCAGTGACCACAAGGCCGTCTGTAGGGACAACCGAGTGCGGAAGAACTTTGAACTTGTCGCCGTACTGGAGGAGGCGGGCGTCGATTTGAACATCCTTCCCATCTTCAATAACAACTGCAGTTGACGTCTGTAGCGAACGCAAGGACACGGCAGCAACAGCACGAATGCGTGCGTAAGCAGCAGTCAAGCGGCCAAGAAGCACAAGTGTAATCAGGAGGGTGCTCGTTTCGAAGAACTCGCGGGGATCGAGTGGCCGGTCAGCCATATGAAATCCAAATCCTACAACCGAGTAGACATATGCAGCCGTGATGCTGATGACAACCAGCATGTCCATCTCAATAGCGCCGCTGTGCACGAGAGATGATATGGCTGGTTTGTAAAAGTCTGGCACGGCTATGAGCTGAACGAAAGTCGCCAAGACAATCGAAATAATCGAGCGTGTCTTGGGTTCAAGCTTCTCACCCCAGGCGAGAACAACGACGGGAATGGTGAGAGTCGCCGCGGCGGCCGTCTTGATCAGTTGATCATACATCCTCTTTCTTCCACTTGCGATGGACGGGTCATCGCGAGGGGGGGCTAGTCCAGTCGAGTGCGGTCCTATTTTGTTGAAAAGCGTTCGAGCTCCAATAATAGCTGGGTCGTAGACGACTCTCGCAGTTCTTTTGTCAATCAAGCTCACTTCGCTTATACCAACGATCGCCAGGTCAGTCAGCGCCTTAGCAGACGGGCCCGAGGCGAGAATGTCCAGCGTCTGATCATCGCTCGACATTCGAGTGCAATGGAAGCCCGTCGCCCGTTCGGTGTTGCGGATGATGTCGTCGGCCTTTCCTGCAGAACCGTCAAGAGTGAACTCGGCGTTGCCCATGACAAAGTTGACTCGTACACCAGACACTCCAGGTATCCCTTTGAGGGTTCGTTCAAGTTTGTTCCCGCATCCAGAACAGGTCATGCCGTCGACAACGAGGGCAACGTGCTCGGATCCAGCATCCTTCTCGATGTCCTTGTCCATGTTGCCATCAACGGCAAGGTTTCCTTTCTCGTAAGCGGATCCAGGAGCTTCAACGTCGTGGCCGCTGCAGCAGTCGGACTGATCATCGCGAATAGGCTTGATGGCCATGTCATGGTCGTGAACGGCTTGCGATTTATTGCCACGTCGCTTAATCCCGTGATGATGATGATGCTTGTGTTGGCCATGAGCATGCGCGGTCGTGTGCGCCTCGGCAGGTTCGCGGCGCTTCTTCCCGGCGGAAGACTTCACAGGAGCGGCTGCGGCTGTGACGGCGGGCTTTTGCTCGCTGCAGCAGGCGGTTGGAAGACCGCGATCAAGAATGCTGCGGCAAATGCAACGGGCCGATTCGAGATAGGCGCTGTACTGCTCGAAAGCCTTGGAGAGATGGGTGCTGCAAGCAGAGGCCGGATGGCGACCGTCCTTGTCATGGGAATGCTCGTGGGCACCTACTTCTGTGAGCTGTAAGCACACTTGACGATGACCAGGATTTCATAGCATACCATCGTGGGCTGTGTCGTCTTCGCAAGATTTCTCGCACTCGACGGCGGCAGCAGCAACGATACACTTCTCTGTCGTACGGTGTTAGACAATGTACACATGACATCACGGGGAATTTCTCGTACCATCACAGTGCTCTTCCTTGGAGGTGCAGCACTCGAGCTTGATAGAGCGACAGGTCGAATCGTCTTCGGAATCGCAGAAAGTTTCGGCATCGCAGTTCTCATCCAGGCAGTTCACATCCAAAGCATCGTCGCATGCTCCATCGCCAGCACAGCAGTCGTCAAGCCTGGGATTATCTTCATGTTCGTGCCCATGGTCACTACCGTTTGCAGGGCCCGCGCATCCATGGTCCTTGGTAGGCTCGTCGGAGCAGCATCCCGCACCCATCGTGTTCAAATAAGGCTGCTTTATTCGATAAGTCTGTTGATAAGGAGGAGGGTCATGTGAGGAGAGTAAGAAGAATGTTGAAGATGTTTGGGAGAGGAGAAAAATGCTGCCTCGAAAAAGTGTCCTATTAGACGTCCAAAACGGGAGAGCTCCAACGCAGCTGGGGTTTTACCGGGGTTACATGCAAGAGGAAGGCGTGGTGACTTCGGCAGTGGGCATTCCCGGACCGAACGACCCCACGTCGGAAGTTACCATCGCAAACACCATTCGTCCATTTCCTGCTTGGTGACCCTTTGCTGAGCTTTGCCGTTTCTGAGTGTCCCGAATATGTGATCATTACGTGATGAACATGGCAAGCTCGGGAACACGTCTTTTGAGATGGCCATCAGTAATACCCACCTCAAGCAGCGCAGTAGCATAAATCATTGCATTTCGACTGAAAAGAATCTGGCTGAAGGTTTTATCTTCGGCTAGAGACCGGACGATTTAAGATGGATGGGCGTAAGAGATGGTGCTCAAGATCTGACTTCAGATGACGCTTCGTCGGAGCATTCGAGAGAAAAGAGGCATGGGAGAAAGCAACGTGCACGGAGCTCCAATAATACAGTCTCAAGAAAACGACATTGAACTAATTACTCTGAGTCTAATTGTTTGGAGCCAGAGCTTTTGGTCGCCTATAGGTCGTTTGATCGCCTCGGCTGGGGCTCCTCAAAAGGGCACTTGAAATCCACTGCGTCTCAACAACAATTGCGTGCGATCGTACGTATAAGCAGATATACTACTTATCGAACCACCGCAGTGACTTCTAGAGTAGCCTCTCACGTAGCCTTGAGGGAGGCGGTTTTGACACCATCAGAAAACGTCTCATCATTCCAATAATTCCCCGAGCCCTGCCCGATCCTATGCTGCCGTACCGTAGGCGCCACTAGCATCATTAGATATCCAGAAAACAAACAAAGTCCGCCTCCAACCCCGTCTAGTCCATAATATTTACAACATGGTATCTTGTTCTTTCCCAATAAAAACCGTTGGTATCATGCAGCAGAAAGAAAACAGGTGGAAACCAAGAAAAAAAGAACCACCGCTTCATCCCAAGGTTTCAAAACACCGCCGCGAAGCCGGTCCTTCTAGGACCACCGGCATCTTTTTCCTTCCCAAACGTAGTGACGCGCTCCAGAGGTGGTTGCTGCTCCTCGGCTCTAGTGGCGAGGGTGCTGCCTGGCGACCACGTCGTCGTCGGGACAGTCTGGCCTCCTCCCGTGTCGTCGTCCGACTCCTCCCACGTCGACACAGTCGACGCCGTGTCCACGCTCGTGCGCCTGTCCCGCGGCGCATGGACACACTGGTAGAAGCCCTCGCGGCCCTTGACGGGGCGGGGAAAATTAGTGATGGAATCGTGGCTGATGCTCCGTCCGTGGTGATTATTATGCTGCTCTGCTGCGTTGCCTCCGCCGGGGAAAAGCCAGCTGGATACCCGGGAGAATGATTTCTTCTTGCGGAGGGGGGGTCTCAGGACGAGGGGTAGTGGGGGTGGGGGCGGCGGCCGGTTGCTTTCTCTGCCGCGGCTCGGGGGTGGGGTGATGAAGGCGGCCGATGCGTCGGCGAAGGCCATGCCGCGGTGGGGGATGTGCACCGGCGGCCGGGGTGGTGCCGTGTGAGGGCGCTCGGCCCCGGGGTTGAGGCGCTCGGCGAAAGAGGGTGCAGATGGCGGGAGGGCGGGGACCGTGGGGATGGGTTCCAGGTCTAGAATTCTTTTTGTTAGTTACAACGCACACGTGAGAAAAAGTGCTAAATTTGGTATCGTCTGAGCTTACCGTGCGCTGTCAGTGCCATCGAATGGGCAGTCGAAGGCCGGCTGCTGGCGTAGATGCTCTGACGCTCCATGACTAGCTCGATTTCGCGCTGGAGCTTGTCGACCTCGAGCATGGCTCCGGCAATCCGCTCCTTCATCCTCTCTGCGCTCGCGCTGGATGACGTCTGAGACCGGGCCCTCGACTTTGGCGGAATTTTCGGGGGCGTATCGCTGGCCATGGTAGCGAGGGTGGATGGCGACGCCGACATCTTCCGGGGCAGATGGAACGACATGGGGGAATAGTTGGGCTCATGCGAGGGTCCGAATACATCGTCGTCGGGATTCGGCCGGACATGGACCTGAGCAGCAGGCCGCGGCGGCGGCGTAAGCATGTCAAAGTGCGGCAGAATCGGCGAGAGCTCCCTCTTGTGCACGTATATGCTGAGCTCCAGCGGCCTGAAGGAAGAAGGGCGAGGTCGCGGCATGGGACGCGGTGGCGGGGTCCGGCCGACGTGCTGGAGGTTCGAATACTGGGGGAACTGAAAGGACTCTGAATGCAGATGGCGAAAGTTGCTGGGGGCCGATATTTGTAGTCGGCGCGATGAGGAGGACGAGGAGTCTGAGCGAGATCGCTTTCTCACAGAGAACCGCTCCCGGAGCGACGCGAAACTTCTCTTCACTCCTTTCGACTTCCCCTGCGGCTGCGGACGAGGTCCGGCTGACCTTTGCATTGTTGTCCCAGCAAAAGGCGGCGGCATGGGCACGGGCTGGTTGCGGGTTACGGTGTGTGGTGGTGACAGTTTCTCAGAAATGTCAAAGGTGTCTAAGCGGAGTGTGCGTGTTAGTCCCACCGGCAGTTGGATATTTTTTTGTGTGTATTGCTACCAGGAACCCAAAGAGCACAACTCACTTTGACGCGGCTTCTCTTCTACGGAGTCAGAAAATGGAGCGCAGCAGTTTGTGAGGGGCGAAAGCCATGTCGCATAGGCGTCTGCAAGTATGCCACTCAGACCCTTCATACTACCTGGTTTACAGACAGCTTCATGCCGGACATTTGCTGGAGACGGGGGGGTAAAAAAGACAAAAAAACGAGAGACGGCCAGCGATTTGACAGAACGAAAGAAGGGAAGATGCAAAGAGGGCGGCAAAGCACAAGAGTCAAGAGAGCGAGCGATCCGATTGAGTTATAATAGAATGGGTACGGATGACCTTGAGGCAAAGCAAGGTAAGGTATGCAAGTACCTTGGTCGTGGAAGGCGAACAGTTCCGAACAGGTAGTAGGCAATTTCAAAGGAAAACCCACTTGGGGTGTGGCCGACTTGATGTCTTTTTTGTCACGCAGTCGAGGCATTTTGAATCCCAATTCCCACTTTGGGCAAGAGATTTGAACAAGTGCTTTGCTTCATAGGTCCAGCTGAGAAGAAGATGGAGGGACATGGAGGGGACATGGGCCTAGCAGTTGTCGGCGAGGTGTGCAGTCAAGATGCAGACGGACCGTTCTGATAGGCCGGGGTTGCAGAACGGGCCAGACACGGCCGGCCAACCGGCGCTTAGGAAGCTGGGGTCTTGTCGGATTCGGATGGCTGGCGGCACACCACCATCCTGCACCAGATTGCAGGGCTCCACCAGTCGTGTAAGATGAAGACGATGGCTCAGCGAGTCGATGTCTCACCTCTGCCTTGCTCTGTGTTGCTGGACTGCCCAGCTTGACCAGCAGTTGCTTGCCACAAGTGCCCCTCCAGAGAGGGCTCCAGAGGGCTAACCAGAGGGGTGTGGAGGGGAGGGAGGCAACGAGGGTCTCGTGCCAGTCAAGAACCGTCATGCTGCGATACATCACACCTTACCCGTCACCGCCCCTTGTCATCTCTTGGGGCGCCGGGCCCACGAACACCTTTGTCGAATATCATTGACAAACAGGGCAACGGGCTGAAGCCTGGGAAGTGAAGGGTAGTTCGACGCCGTGTGTGCGTGTTTCCAGTCGGGCAATTAATAAGGCCCTGTGACCAATCACTGGGCGATGGCTGACTGTCTATCCAAACAGAAACCAATAAACCTAGCCTAGTCGCTCAGTGACATGTTCCAACCTGAGCGAACGGGAAGCAATGAGAAATCATTGTTGCATGCAAGGCACCGCGGGTGGCAGGGAGGGTAACGCGGGAAGCCTACGTGCGGATTTGGGGATGTGTTGTGCCGTCACAATTCCCATCGTCGCTCAGCATGTCTCCGGTTTAATACTGCAGGACGCCATCGCCGTTGGATGGTTGTACGGGGAGGGCGAAGCCGATGGGCTGGCCGACGGATGGCGACTGTGGACAATATGCAAGGTAAGGTAAACAAGAGAGGGTGTTGTGTTCTGTTTCTGTCCCGCTCCGCTTTGCATTTGCCCCAGTACTTGCGAGTTGCCCCTCTCGATTTTCTCTGCATCTAATAAAAGCCTCTCGGGCAATCAGCATCACTTGACGACTGTCGCGATGAATCTGACTGTAGTGGTTGCGGGACCCAGCCGGATCGTGAGAAAAGAAGTCTCCGGCGTGTGATGACTCGAGTCTAGCAAAATAGTGTCGGGAAGCCGTTGCTGGGAACTGTGGCGGAGTCCCTCGTCATCGTTTGGTCTGAAGAAAACTGGTGGACGAGAGACTTTGGCAGAGTTGCTCGTGTTACTCTAGCGCAAACAGAATGTCTCGGGCGAGCCGCCACAGTGGAAAGAGGAAAAGAGGAGATTCGGTAAGTGTCTTGCTGATGTAAGATGGCTGACATAAGATTCATGAAGATCCATAACATGATAGTGGGTCGAAGGGAGATCACATGATATGATGGCTGACTAAGGCAGCTCGACCGTTTGAACCCGCGTGCCTGCCTGTGATGCAGAGGACATTTGAGTTTGGGTGTGGTCAAAGCGCCTTCCACTTGGGCTGACGGGCTTATCGATAACGGGTGTCGGAGAAAGAGATTACCGAATTTCTATCGATGGACGGGAATTGGACCCAATGGGTGGAGGGGACGGACCTTAACCCCTGCACGGATTTTTGGACCAGAAGTGAACACCTGGCTTGCTTGCTGGTCACTTTTTGTTCAAAGACCCAGCCCACGACCGCAGCTCCCACGGTCAAACTCCCGCTCATCCAACAAAAACTGATCCAGCAGTCAGGCTTCTTTCCCAATTGTCGCCGGACTCCTCCAATCCCGCCGACAACCTTGGCAGAGAACATTCAGAGTTCTTCCTCGCGTCTTTCCAAAACACTGGTTGCCTTCGAGCACTAGCCCACATTCAAAGATGTCGATGCCAATGCCCGGCCCCATGGGCCCTATGCAGATGGGCCCCAACGGCCAGCCCATGCCTTCGCCTGAGCAGATCGCGGCCATGCGCAGACAAATAGAGGCTGATGCCCAAAAGGCTGGCATGAGTGTTCCGGATTTCCTCAACCACCTCCGACAGCAGGCCATGCAGCAGCAGCAGATGGCCATGCGTCAGCAGCAGCAACAACAGCAGCAGCAACAGGGCGGCGAAGGTGGAGAGGGCGGCCATGATCACGCTCACGATCACGATCATGACCACGAGGGTCATCAGCACCCTCACCCTCATCAGCACCAGCAGCAGCAGCCGCAGCAGGGCCAGCCGCAGCCCATTAGGCCTGGCCCGCCCAACCCTGTTGCGCTTGCGCTGGCCAGCTTCCTGCGCGCCCAGGATTTGAAGCCCCGTACCTGTATTCTCAATGGCGAGCGCAAGGACATGTTCAAGGGTAAGTACTGAATAATCGTGATTTGTGTCATTCAAGCCAGTCCTGACATTCGTATTACAGTCAAGCGTGCGCTCCGCGCTCTCCAGTCCCCCGCCTACGAGAAGGCGCGCAAGAAGAACCCCGAGTTGCCCGAGATCACCGATCGTGCGTCTCTCGAGAACACCTTTAAGCTTCTTCCCATGTCGATGCTTGCCCTGCGCGTCACAAAGACCGACCCCCACGAAGGCCACGACCACGGCCCGAAGAAGACGAAGCGCATCAAGGGTCTCTGGACCGTCCGCATCGAGCCTCAGCAAGAGGCCAAGGAAGAGATGTACTACGCGTGGTTCTGGGAGGGCAGCCAGGTTAAGCGCAAGCTGTACTCCATCCTCGCCCTCGTGCTCATCTTCATCGTCGTCTGCTACCCCCTCTGGCCCCTCAAGCTTCGTCTCGGCGTCTACTACCTCAGTTGGGGATTCTTGGGCTTGCTCGGCCTGTTCTTCCTCATGGCCATCTTCCGTGTCATTCTCTTCTGCATCACCTACTTTGTCGCATCTCCCGGCCTTTGGCTGTTCCCCAACCTGTGGGAGGACGTCTCATTCATGGACAGCTTCAAGCCCGTCTGGGCCTGGCACGACGTAAGTGCCACTTTCCCTGTGCGATGAACGCCATTGGACAATGATTAACAAAAAAAAAAAAAAATAGACTGCTCCCAAGAAGGGCAAGAAGAAGAAGGCCTCATCTGCCGGCGCCTCGAGCGCTGGCGGTACCTTTGCCGCATCCACTGGCCAGCCCCTCCCGGCTTCCGCGACCACAACAGCTACGGAGACGCAGATTGCATCCCAGCCCGCGCAACGCCCCGGCTACGTCGCGCCAGCTGTGGAGGAGCTTGGTGATGATGAGGAGTAGATGCATTTTCGAGGTGGACAGTTTCGCATCAAACAGGCGTTGGGGATTTTTTATTAGCTGAAGGAAGGACTGTACGAGTAGAATACCCATCGTCCAAACTAGCTGACGCGTGGGGTTGGGAAGGACAGAGGCGATCTCGGTACATAGCATTTTGGTCACCTTGGCTCTCCTAAGCTAACTCAATGGACGACAAAAAGCTAGATCGGCCCTGCGTAGTTATTCAACGTGGTTTTTTTGCATCTAGTATTCACATCATACACTGAAGTTCAGAAATGGCAGCGCAACAGGAGATTACTGATTACTAGTATGTTTATATGCTTTTCACATGCTCAACACCATATGATGCTCCTATTGGACCGAACCCTCAGAGCGCTCATAGTACCAGATAGCACCAGGCGTAGTCGCGCAGTTCGTCACGCGCCCGCCATTAGCATCAGCAGCGACGGGCACGGCGTCCCCGCGCTGGGGCTTGCCGTGGACGTGGAAGTAGTACCAGGCCTCGGTGAGCTGGGTGTACCCGTTATCGAGCGAGCCCTTGCCGGCTTCGGTAGCGTTGTACCGGGGCCCGTAGCAGCCCAGGTAAGGGACGGCGCCGTGGCCCTCCTTGAGGGCGGCCTGGAGGTCCGAGAGGGAGTAGGCGGTGCTGTTGGACGGGGTAATGTCCTTGGCGGCGAGCCACTTCCAGGTCGGGGTTTCTTGGTAGTAGTGGACGGCGGTCTCGAGGAAGTCGACGACTTCTTCGTGTTCTTGGTACTTGGGGCCGTAGCATTCCACGTCAAAGGTACTGAAGCAGGTTGCGTGCTTGGAGAACTCGTGAGCCCAGAGAACCCAGTTGGGGGTGTACTGGGCGATCCAGAATCTAAAATACGGGCAGTTTTGTAAGATTATATATCTCTGTGGATGGGCAAGGGTTTTGTTCATGAACGAGGGTACCTACTTCTTCATGTACTCGAGAAGATCAAACCTCTCAAAGGGCTTGACGAACTCATCCAGGGAGACGCCGGTCCAGGCGGGGACCGGAGTGCCATCCGCCTTACCGGTGGTGGTGTTGGGGGAAGGTGCCGGGTCGTACTGACGGCTGAGGTCGCAGTACTGGGTGTACGAGCCGTTGCAGAAGTCGGGCCACAGGCCGTGGATGCCCCACGCGTCGGCGGGCAGCTTTTGGCCCTCGGCCTCGAGACCGGTGTGGGTGTTCCAGAACTGCGTCGCGAGCTATTGTCCACCACAAAAATTCACAGTTAATTCACCAACATCTTCAAGATGGACAGAATTCATTCATACCACCAAGCCTCCGTACGTCTCAACGCAGCAAGTGTCGACCTTGTCGGGGTTTGCGCCGCAAGAGCAAGACAGAATGGGTTCGACTGTGAGGCGCGCATCGTCAGTTGAGTCGCAGGCCCTCAAGGGCTCACCGAGGTCTTACCAAGAGCGCAGGTGTGGTTGGCGGTGGTCAGTCCCGGGTAAAGGCCGGCAGCGGCCGTGCGCAACAGGCCAGCGACGGCAAAAAGTCCAATTGTTCGAGACATTTTTGGGGGATTGACTGATTTTGCAGTTTTCTCTCACAAAAGTTGACGGAGACCGGAGGCAAGGGGACAGGAACGACACAACGACACAACGACAATTGGATCAACTTGCGCAGCTTCGCGACACTTTATATTCACAGTCTCCTCTCTATCTATCTTCCCAGCTGGGGCCAGCATGGTTGGAAAAAAAAAAAAAAAAAAAGGTTCCAATCTCCACACGGGAAGCGATGTTGGCAATGCTCTTGACTTGAAAAGGAAGCTGGCCAACAGTTAAAAGTGCTTGTCAGTCTTGTCAGCCGTCGTTGCCGTCGGCGGACCAGGGCCCATTTGTGGGGGGTAGCACTCCCACCTGCTCGAGATACGGGACGTGAGAGGTCAATTAGAGCGCGGGGCGATAATCGGGAGAGTGGTTTGCAGTAGCGCCAATGCGATTCGACAAGGCGTGTTGACTGTCGCGGTGTGTTTGTCTGTTGACCAAGGGGAATGGTCCGCGATGGCAACTTTTTTGGGAAGTGTGGCCGTTGACTGCGGCGAGCTCCGAGGATAAGGAGACTGATAAAGTCCAACACATGCCTGCGTGCCTGCCAACCTTCAATTGCGAAGCCGAGTTCCTGGGACGTGACAGGATGCACTCGCACTTTCCGTTCAGGTACTGATGGACGGTCGACCTC